GTGACCGCTGACATGGAACGCTTTATGTTTTCATCCCAAACCCTACCAACGCCGAGTGGATGCTGTATTGATGCCAGCATCGCGTAAACAAAAACAAAAGGAACCGAAGCAATCAGAAGGTCCTCAACTAGCCTGCTTGATCTTCAAATCCATGACATACTGCATCAAGCTGCAGTCGTCACACTTGACAAGCGACTGTAGAGCCTTGACTCTCGTCCGGAGTAGTTGGTTCTCATCTGCCAGACTCTTCTTGTCTTTTTCCATTTGCTTGATGTAGGCAGTCGCTGACGCTAAGATGACTGCTTTGCTAGGCTTCGAGGGTGTGGGCAGGTCCTCGATGTCGGCGCCGTCGCATGCTCGTTGGTTTTGGAGGGAGGGCACGACACGCTTGAGGGAATCTAGTTGTGTGTTGAGTGATTCTCGGTACTTTCGTTCGACTTGGTTGTGCGGTAGTCGTCGGCGTGGCTTTGTCTTGTCATCCTCGTTGGCTTGGGGGGATTCTTTGGCGGAGGCGTCTTCTGTCGTCTCGCTCTTCATTCGTTGCCGGTCGTCTGATGGGGATGTGGTCGTGTCTTTGCTTTCTCTCTGTTGGGTTGAGAAGCCGTTGGCTGATGCGTCGCTTTCGGATCGCTTCTTGGGGCGTGGTTGGATCTCCACTATACCGTCTTCGGCAGTGACTTCTTGTGGGTCGTTAAGTAGGTTGCTGATACTTGGGAGAGCGTCCTGGTCTGCGAACAAGAAGGGAGCACATCCTCCGCCGCACGTCGATGGATTAGGCGGTGAACCATTTACATCGTGATTGGGGCAAAGTGGGGATGTCCAGCAGGCAGAGAGTATGTCTGGCTTGTTCTTGGTACGTTTCGACGTAGTGTTTGTTGTTGTTGATGTTTGAGTTCTCTCAAGCCCTGGCTTGGTAGTGGTAGATGATCCTTTCGGGCCGTCGGGGAAGGTGAGGTCTTCGACGAAACCGGAATCTAGGTTGTTGGGAAACAAAGATTCATAGGCAGGGTTGGGGAAGGTGTTGGCACGTTGGAGTGCTTGCCTCTGAGCTGGCGGCATGTTGGCTGACTGGTCTAGGCCGTTTACGTCTGATGGTGTCTGAGATGTAGAGTCGTTACCAGTCCCATGTACAGGCTCGGGTGACGACTCATTGGTAGATCTCCCTCCACCAATGTTGTTGCCAAAGGGCTTGAGGACGTCGAGGTCGCCCAGAAAGTAGTCGTTAGGTAAGAACAGCGAGTCGTCAAAGTAAGGATCGCCTGATGTTCCTCCGAGAAGGGAATCAAAATTGGTGACGTCTTCAGGTGAAGAGCCTGACGTGTCGGTGGTGGTCGACTTAGGCATCTGGGAAGTGGGAGGGGCAGACGTTGGTGGTAAAAGATCGGACCATTGGTCGTTCGGTAGGTTGAAACCCTCAGTATTGAGGAATGCGTCCCAATTGAGAGCCATGATGATAGTCCGCGGGTGGGTTGTTGCACGGAAGAGCTCACGCGTTGATCAGGAGATACAATCGCTAAGGTACCCTGGCCAAGCCACACGTGAGACTAGCGGGCGAGGTGCAGGATCAGGGTCGAGCTGGGGTCGAGGTTATAAGCGCGGGCACTTCCTTTGTCTTCGTCAAGTTGAAAAGATGCTCGCAGGTACTCAACATGGGTCGATGGTGAAGATGTATCCACGCGTTTGAGAGAAGTTTCTCTAGTTTTTACACGGGAATAGGCGATGGCTTAAGGCGGGTGAGTAAGACCCAAGGAACAGCTTGGCAATAGTTGCAGGTCAATACAGGCGAAGTCCACACCGTTTCGTGGTACTCCTCGTACGGGGTTTGATCTGCCGACTGGTCAGGGGGTATGAAGATGCAGTATCGAGAGTGGCAGGTGCAAAGGGCAGTCAAAAGCCTAGAAAATGTCAGTCGCTCCAACGGGGCTTTCGGTACAGCAATTGCGCGGAAGTTGTCCTGTGCCAGGTTCTGCGCTGTTCTAGATTACCAAGGTAGAGGTTGATCAGACCACCAGAGAGTGGCGTGACATTTCCCTGCGCCCCGCTCCATGCCCGGAACCATCCTAGCGATGGCACGCCGTGCGCCTCATTACGAGGTCCTAGCCACAGCAGTATCTTTTTCGCATTATTTTCGGAATGCCGTCGCTCTTGTGCCTGAAGATCATAACAGGATGACATGGGATGAAAAGAATGCAGGTGTGTTGTGGGCAATGCCATGTTGGAGCGGGAGCCAACAACGCTTCCGTTAGCGGCCTCGGCTGCCCCACTAATAGCAGCCGCATCTCAACATGCTCCTATGCAATCGAGACTAAGCGTGTATGTCCTCTCTGTGTTTGCAGGGGTATGAATACACGCAAAGAGTCTTCGCGAGCGGTTCAAAACTCGTTTGGTGTATCTACTCGAATCGACATAGCGAGAACTACTGCGCCAAGACAAGGAAATTCCGGGCATCAAGAGGTCACCTGTAGACTAAGCTCTACTCCCCTATGTCTAGGACTTCAGTATATCCATGTCCCTAGATTATTGCCATCGAAGTATTTCTTCTCGTCGGTGTGGTGCTATCGTTACGCTTGAGCGGAAGGCCATTGCTCTTCCTAAGACGCATAGTGTCTTGAGTTGAGTATATTGACCCACTTCTTCAAGTCTCCGCCCGATCGCTCGACTGACCCTGGCATACTCAGGACGAGATTGGCAGGTGCTGGATAACGTCCGTCATCCCGTATGCGGCTGTGGCGCGGAAGCTCCCGTGTAGGCGAAGCACCTAAAAACCCGTTGTTGAACCCGTCTCCGCTGCGACTAAGCCCTGGCTGTACATCGCTCCGGGCTCTTCGATCTAAAGTATGGTCCTCCCATCCGCGGATGTGGTCGCTTTCAATTGTCCAAAGCAGCCTATGCCAGGATCTGGTAGAGGTGTGCATCATCTTCCGAAGATTCAAGAGCCTCATGAAGCTGGAACTGTGTTTCTCATTGTCGATTGCAGCAGTTACACCATGAGGACTACCGGAATGGTTGGATCCATCCCTTCACGGACTTTCCTTCGCGCTGCCCGAGACCCGGGTATTATTGGTCGATGGCACAAGGGACAGTACTCATTGTATCTTGTGAACCACTCGTCGAGACAGTGTGAGTGGAAAGCGTGAGAGCAGTGGAGTCCCCGAACTTGCGCATCTTCGGCGAAATCATCAAGGCAGATGGCGCTGTCTCATAGTCAGTCCAGCCCGCTCATCGAATATGGCTTATTTGGCATACTCACCACAGGGGATCCGATGCTTGCGTTGAATCAGATGTCTTCTCCTTTTGGCTTTCGAGCCAATCATAGAAGTTCTGAGATTTGATGTGCGTCTCCAGCTCGTCTTGTCGCGTCTTCCAGCGCTTCTCTTTGTGACTAGACTCATCACGGACGCATCGTGGGAGAATGAAGCCCCTGCGGCGGTTCCTATCGTCAGCTTAGACATGCATGAGGTCCTCTGACACCAGTGCGAAAACTGACATGATGACCAGCGTAAGAAGTAAAATGATCAAGACCGAGGGCACGATGATCGCGATGACGATCGTACCACTCTTTACACTCGCCGGCGACGTCTCTTCTTCAGTGTTGTTTGCCATAATAATAAGACTGGTAGGGTATATTCACACAGAGAGAAGAGAGAGAGCCAAATCTTGAGTGCGCTTCGAGGTGTTGCGTATATACGGCGGATTGGATTTCCTTTGTCGACCGAGTTAAGCTGCGTGCATACCAAGGGTGTCGCAATCACCCACTGCGCGCATGTGGTGACCCCAGAGTAACGGAATGTATGGCTTGAGGACCACGGGATGGGTAGATAGGAAAGCAGTGTTCACGTTCGAGCGCGCAGCCCGGAGGAAGGCGGATTCGCAGAGACAGAGGAAGACCCAACCTTAAAAGTAGCTACATCATCGTCAGATGAAGCCCAAGACTGGCTCTGCAGCTCGATACACCCAATGCGGGCTTGGCCTATCTACCCTTGACGCGTCGCTCCTCTCAGCGTGCTCCATTCCTGAGCCAAGGGTAGAGCTCTTAAAGTTGGCCAACCAGGTTTCATCGGCGTGCTCTTGTGACGCGGGGTCGAGAGCTGAAAGGGCCGACAAACTTTATGGAGGGCAAGGCGCCCGCGTTGTAACATGCTGCGTAACCTTATAAACCTCGATCCACGGGCGAACAAGAACTCTTGGGTGGGACGATCGCGCTAGCAGTCGGGCCATGTGAGGGTGTGAAGGATCGGTGCTCCAGGTGGAGACGGAGGGTGGGCACTAGGGCCCACACCACGCCCATCACTTGTGGGGTAGCAGATCTTGTGAACTGGAGTTCTGCTCGCAATAAGCATGTTGTTACGCATTCCTTGGTATGGGCGCCGTGGTTGTTCGAGTGCGCGAGTTTCCTTTTGGACGACCTCGGGAAGATTTCCTGAACACGAGCGCTACGCCGAATATGGACTAGGGCGTTGCACCGAATAAACGAGCTCCTCCGTAAGCAAGCACGCAAGCAACACGCAAACCTCATCCGCCACGTACCGTTTCGCCGACGCGCCGCGCGAAGCCACATAGCTAGCCATGCGAAGGCCCTGCATTCGACAGGGAGATACATGTCCGCTTTCTTGAAGAATATCATGTCGTGCCGGACTAATCATAACACAACAGCACACCAGCTGAACATACAGGTGAACTAGTATGCTCCAATGGCCGGATCGAGGATCCGAACGAGCGAATGACATAGCCTCCGTTTAGCCTTGCATACTTCAGCCGCAAATGCGCGTCTTTATCTGGCCTCGCATCTCTCCTTTTGTGCACAAACGAGCAAGCTGAAGATATGGCGTTTTCCGGTAGGTCTGGGCTGGTCTTATTTCGATATCGGCGCGCCCAAGAGAGTGCAGTGGATGTAACACACCTGGCGTTCGACGCGCAGTAGGTATATTTGAAGGGGTGTGCCTTCCACCGGACGTGTTTGACAAACCGTCCGAACCATCCGTTTCTTTTGGCACACGAACATGCCATACCAGTACCAACCACTTCCGACTCTCCACAACTCAGAAGATGTATACATACGATTGCTGGAAGTTCACAGGGGTTCTCCAAGTGGCCCTATCACCGGTCGACTGTATACAACGTTGTTGTCGAAAGCTCCGAAGTTCTACGCCCTCTCCTATAACTGGGGTCGTGAGCCACACAACGCTACCATCCATATCACCAATGCGGCCCCACCTCGTGATCTGGAGAACGACAACATCCTCGAAATACCCCGCACGTTAATACCGTTACTGTACGAGATTCGAGGATGGCGTTGGCAGAAAGCACGCACTCTGTGGGTCGACAGCGTGTGCTTGAACCAGAAAGATGATGAGGAGAAGACCGCGCAAGTACCAAAAATGCGACAGATCTACATGAAGGCTTCTGTCACTGTGAGCTGGCTGGGTCCGAAAGAAGCGGGGGTAGAAGCAGCGTTCGAATACGCTTCTGGACTACACACAACCTACCGACGAGAAATGGCGGAACAGAAACAAATAGTCTTGACACTGGAGGAAGAGAAAGAGAAAGATGTTCGCGTTAAGGTCAAGGTAGGCGACCCGGCACTCGAGACGCTGCTGAGGTTGCTAGATCGGCCTTACTTCGAGCGATCCTGGATCATGCAAGAAGTCGTGGTTTCTAGTTCGGTGTGGTTCATGTGTGGAAGCGCCAAGATACCCTGGAATTCGCTGCTGGCTGCATATCTGTATCTTTTGACGAGTCAACTGTGGCTGTGGGAATTTTATGAAGGAGCTAGGCTAAGCAACGTCATCCTCATGAAGCTTAGTGAGATGGAATTTGCCAATGGCGTCGATCTCGATTGGCCTGGGACGCTGCTGAGACATCGAGTTTGTTTTGCCGGTGATTCTAGGGACAAGATTTACGCTTTCTACGGCATGAGATGTAAAAAGGCATTAGAAGAGGTGGGAATCAAGCCAGACTATGACGGGAACCTTACGCCGGAGATATTGTACACTCGTTTGGCTGCGCGCACGCTTCAGAAGGGGCAAGTGGCGATCCTCCATGTGCCTCGTCTCGTTACTACCCCCCTCGAAGAAAGCGACCCGAAATACAAACTGGCGCTCCCATCATGGGTACCGGACTGGCGGTGGACAGACGCTACTCCTATGTCGCTGGTCAGAACCGAAATGCTCGCCAATGATGCTTACACAGTGCGAGACTACCATGCTTCGGACAACTCTTTATTCGAACCCGGCTTCGCACTTGAGACGTCCAACTCACCACCAGACCCTGGTATCTACCCAATGGACTTGCCCAAGATGCTGAGGCTGTCTGGAGTTAAAGTAGCGAAGGTCACGCAACTCACACCACGCCGTTGGCTAGCGCGCAAAGCCCCACTTCGCCAGTCCTTGCTTGAACAAGCACAGATTTTACAATTCAATATGCATCAAGTTCATGAGTGGGAGGCTCTATTTCGACCCCAGCACGATGAGCAAGTGTATCCTGCGACAGGCGAGTCTGCAACTGAAGCCATGTACGAGACCTTCATGGCTGGCGAACTACAAAACACGCCAGAAGCTAAAAGAAGCGCTTATGCCGCCTTTGAGAAGCGCCAGCGACTCTTGCGGCTTCTTTACGCGTTCAATATCCACGGCTATTTGACATGCTACATCGCGGTCGTCTTGATTGAGCGCATGCTTCGCCTCTTTGGCTGGGTGAATCCTGAAGCGCAGTTTAGGTCTATGGTAGGGCATATGTTGAATCGCAAGGGCGCGCGAATGGTCGATCTTGTAGACTCTAAGACAACTTATCATGCACTGGTACCCAGTATATGTCGGCTTGGAGACCACGTTGTGCTAGTTGGGGGCGTTATGACACCGCTTATATTGCGGGAGGGTGTAGGCACGTGGGAGTTTATCGGTGATGCTTATGTTCATGGAATCATGAAGGGTGACCTTTGGGAGAAGAGCAAGGGAAATTGTCAAGATATGTGGATTGCTTGAATGAGGAGGAGTTTCACGCTCTCGGACTCAATGCACGGTCTGCAGAATGGTGGTCTTCACATTGCCAATCACTGCCGGATCCACGCTATAGATACCACCAGTCTAACTCGGCCACCGCGCACTCTAATCCCCACCTGATTCCACATCTAAGAAGCTCGCATTATCAACACCCGGAACTTCAGTAGAGTCGAACAAGTTTTGACATTCTACAATACAGCATGTCTCAATCGAAGATTACGACTTTTGCCAACGAGACATTGGACAAGATCTTCGCCTATCTTGCCGACAAGGATGCCTGGCTTGCTCTGATCAAGGGTAAAGTAGCCGCCACGAATAGCTCTCAAGATAGCTTGCTAACTTATTACAAGTATGCAGCCCCCTTGCTATGCTTTGCCAACCCGTTTCCAAGACATTTTATTATTCGTGCTGACAGCTTGATAGTCACATCGCAGCTTCAGAGCATCAGCCCAGCAACTTCTCTACCGCGACATCCAAGTACCTGCGCAGCATACTCCAGTTCATAATGGACGCTGCTCGATGCTCTTGACCGCGCTCACAGCCGCCCCGCACCTCGCCGGCTCAGTACAAACGCTACAAATCGATTGCCAGCTCGAAGGCGCGTACCCATATGGCAAACTATCCCTCGAACGAGACGCGATTCGGGAGATTCTCGCCAAACTTGCGAATCTACAAAAGTTGACTATCTTTATCCTGGACGATCCACGATCAACGTTTGAGCAAATGGACGCATCATCTGAGATTGCTCAAATGTAAGATTACTGACCAAACGTGATTATCGGCAAGGAGCTAACGTCATATACAGGCTGAGAGATCACACTACCACACCTATCAGCATAGACTGTCCCGAGCATCACTTAGCCATGTCAACTTGGCTCTTCGGTCTGCCCACCGCCAAAACACTAGTCGTACGAGAGAATATCACGCACGCAGCGCTCGGGTATTTCACCGCGCCCTCCATCCAATGGTCTGACACAGTCAACTTCAGAAATCTCACCTCCATCGACTACAAATGGTGTACATATCCATCAATACACAATGGACGTGCTGCTGTACAGAAAGCTGGCACTGCTAGTCAACTAGTGAAATTGCGCTTCACATGGTACCTCGACGGCGCGCCCACACTAGGCCTAGATGGCAGCATCGCTAATTTATGGGCGACTCAACAGACGCTCCGAGAACTCACTATTTTGCCTGGCACATGCTACGAAATACCGCAGAGACCTTGGAGCCCAACTAGATTCACCAATTTTACCGCCTTGCAGATCCTGCATGTGCCGGCTTTCGCATTTTTCGAGGAAATGTCATGCGGTAGCCTGAAAGCAAATCCCAACCGCGTGGGCTTTGAACTCAGGAGCGATATCACGACTCTCTTACCACCGAATGTACGCGAACTAGAGATCTGGTTCAGATACCCATCTGGTATCTTGGCCACGGGTGGGACGAAGATGCGGCAATTCCAGGAGCTGTCTGAACAGGAGAGGATTAAGTGGTTTGGATGGATACTAGCTTTGCTTCAACTGCGCAGCTTGCGCCGAGTTCGAATGAGCGAGAGCCTTTGCGCTCATGATGGAGGTGGTTGTTGGAAGCAGGAGCGTGGCAGCTGGCCGAGTTGCAAGCTTATACTACCGGAGGTGGTGAGCGAGGCTTTCGCTAAGGCGGGGGTGGACCTGGAGATTGAGGTGTTGGATAGAATGGCTGTGTATCATGGGATGTATTAAGATGGTTGGTACTGGGGCTGGATATATGCGCCTTGGGTATTTATGGGGGTAGGAGGGATGGCGTTGAGTGGTGGCAAGGTTATGTTACTCAGTTATGTCGCTCAATGACTCAACCGCTCACAGGGGAACGCAGCGATGGCGATGATAGCATGACAGGATGTTCATCAATCAGTATTTGACCGCCTAACGGTGTCCATAGTAGCTACTTGCAACATCAACATCAACATCAACACCAACACCAACCTCCTTAAACATAGTATTTCCCACAAATCCCATTACTAAGCAACACAGACCCGTCCGGTGTTCCGTCCTGCAAGATAATCTGGCCCCCCAGAGAAGCGGGAGCGCAAGCACCACTATTTCGTGTGAAGAAATAACAGTAGTTCTGGTTGTTAACTACCTGAAATACGCTTCCGACACAGGCAAATGTGGAGATACAGGCCGCGCAGCATTCATAGATCGACCCGGCAACGACACTCTGCTGCGACAGGCCGTTGGTCAGGATTTGGCTGGAAACTTGGCCATTGGTACTGGAGATGAAGTTGTCGGCACCGCAGGCGGCGTAGAAGGTGGAAGCTGGTGCGGCTACTTCGATTGTTTGGGTAGTGACAGTTGTGATGGTAGAGGGCTCGACAATGGTTTGTGTGATGGCTGTGTAGTAGTCGACAGTGACTGTTGTTGATGCGCGAACGGGAGTGAGGGTGGTCGTGCTGACCTCGGTTATTGTGGTGGTGACTGAAGAGGTAGGTGCCGACGTTGTAACAGTTGTTGTCCTCTTCGCGGTCCGGGTGATGGTCGACGTACTGATCACCTTCGCGATGCCGACGCAGGCCACCCCTTGTGGGTAGACTGGAGGTTCGCATGTTGGTTTTCGGCCTTTGTTAAAGATGATACGTTGTGCTTGGCCTCGCTCTTCTAGTGCAGATTCATTTGATGCTACTTCAGGGATGCTGGCGGATCTTCGCTTCCTGTTGGGGAAGGTTGATTGGATGGGCTCGAATTGTGAAGGAGGTACTTCAGTTGTTGTTGCAGCGGCAAGCGTGATAGTGAGCGTGGCGGTGTCTGTTACGCGGGTGATGTCCGTGGATGTTGTTAGGACTGTGTCGGTAGTGAAGACAGTTTCAGAGAACGTGTCGGTCTCTTGAGTATGGGTCTCAGTCATTACGCTCGTCGCTGTGACAGTGACCGTGGCGGTAACCGGTGGAGGAGTGACGACATATGTAGGCGTCTTCGTTGTGAACTTGAAGCCATAGAAAGGTACCATCAAGATGCGAGACGTTGTCTTGACGGTAGCAACCGGCTTTGGACCTTGCTTGGTGATACAAGTAACGTAGGAATTTGTCGTAGCAGTTGCGCTAGCTTCAAATGCAAGCAAGAGAGCGCCGGCGAAGAAAGTATGTGAGAGATGCATGTTGCCACCGTGTATATATGAGCTTTCCGAAGTGTCTGATGGTCCTATTGTCGCATTCACAGCTCTTATATAAGCCTTCGTTCTTCCAGCTCATCGTCCCAGACTCTTCCCCAACTTGACCTGGCGACTGGACAAGGCGATACCCATACTTCGTTCAGCCAGCCATTTCAGCCTCCTTGAGCCATCACGCACTGCCCAGAATGTACAGATCGACATATGGAGCACATTTCGCGTTAGTGCATAAAATAATGCATCCCGAATAGGTATGAACAATGAACGCTGTCGCGACTACAGCGCTAGATCGCAAGTGTGGCTTGTCGGCGGTATGTAGACTTATTTGCCAGTTCTCGACATTGGAAAGCGTCCAGTCACCAGTGATTGGAGACACGAGAATCTAGTGCTGGCGTTTAAGGCCTCCAATTTCGAGACAGTTCAGTATGTGCTGTAACCTAGACTGGGCTGAGTGGAAGTCTAGGCCCGAAATGCGGGATCTAGAAGTAAAATGCAAGTTGCCGCGAGAAGGATGCAGGAACTGGAAGACACGGGTGGACTGTATGGAATCTATAACGCTAGTGAAATCACGTGATACGCGGTGGCGCTAAGACGGGTGCCGTTAGCACCGAACGTCCTTTGAGAGGCGGTCGCCGCCGTCGCATACCGAGCAGACAGGACACTACACGTCCGCACTCACCACCCCCCTTCACCTCCCCGCGCCTAATCAACCCAGTCGCGATCATGGCCGAGCCGTACGACTACGACGGTATGGAGGACGAGTACGAGGATGAGGAGAACCGCGTCTTGCCCGAGGACTGCTGGGCGGTCATCAGCTCCTTCTTCGACACCAAGGGTCTGGTCTCGCAGCAGCTCGACTCGTACGATGAATTCACGCGCAACACAATCCAGGACATCGTAAAAGAAAACGGCAGCGTCATTCTCGAGCAAAATACGCCCTACAACCCCGATGAGGAGGAGAACCCCATTATCAAGCGCCGCTATGAAATTAAATTCGGGCGCGTCTACCTGGCGCGGCCAACACACACCGAAGGCGACGGCACCACGGTGCAACTTTATCCCCACGAAGCGCGTCTACGGAACCTCACATACTCCGGTGCCATGTTGGCAGATATTGAGAACCGAATCATGGTCGCCCGCGAGGGACGCGAACCGGAGGAAGGCGATGACGAGGAGATGGAGGGCGGTTACACAGGCGGGCCATCGCAGATCCGGTGGGAGCGTGAAGACATGCCAATGGACGATGGCGCTGCGGCGCGAGTCTTCATCGGAAAGCTTCCCGTCATGTTGCGGTCAGAGCTCTGCCATTTGCGAGCGCAGTCTGACGCGGACCTGTTCGCTCTGAATGAGTGCCCATACGATCAGGGTGGATACTTCGTTATCAACGGAAGTGAGAAAGTCCTCATCGCTCAGGAGCGCAGTGCCGCGAACATCGTACAAGTCTTCCGAAAGAAGCAGGGTCCCATTCCATGGATTGCCGAGATTCGAAGTGCGGTCGAGAAGGGCACCCGGTTGATCTCATCGTTCAACATCAAGTGGGCGGAGAACTCACTCGCAGGTCCCGGAAAACGTATCCCCGGTCCCTTCGCATACGCTACCCTCCCATACATCAAGGCGGATGTGCCTATGGCCATCGTCTTCCGCGCGCTCGGTATTGTCTCCGACGAGGAGATTCTCAGTCACATCGTTTACGACCGCACCGACACACAAATGCTGGAGCTGTTGAAGCCCAGTATCGAGGAGGGATCCGTTGTTCAGGACCGAGAGACTGCTCTGGACTTCATCGCCAAGCGTGGCGCCAATTCAGGCACGAAGGACAGGCGTCTCAAGTTCGCGAGGGACATTATGCAGCGAGAATTCTTGCCGCATATTTCCCAGAAGGAGGGTCAGGACACACGCAAGGCCTACTTCTTTGGTTACATGATCCACCGCCTTTTGCAGTGTGTGCTGGGTCGCCGCGACGAGGACGATCGTGATCACTTCGGTAAAAAGCGTCTGGATCTCGCTGGACCTCTGGTTGCCAACTTGTTCCGTATTCTCTTCCTGAAGCTCACCAAGGACGTGTACAAGTACCTCCAGCGATGTGTTGAGAACAACCAGGACTTCAACGTTCAGATGGCTGTCAAGGCCAGCATCATCACAAATGGTCTGAAGTACTCTTTGGCAACGGGTAACTGGGGTGACCAGAAGAAGGCCGCTTCCGCCAAGGCTGGGGTGTCCCAGGTGTTGAACCGATACACTTACGCTTCCACATTGTCGCATTTGCGTCGAACAAACACCCCAGTCGGTCGTGACGGCAAGCTAGCCAAGCCGCGACAGCTTCACAACTCCCATTGGGGTCTTGTTTGCCCTGCCGAGACTCCTGAAGGACAAGCTTGTGGTCTGGTCAAGAACTTGTCTTTGATGTGCTACGTCAGTGTCGGTAGCGACGCGTCGCCTATCATCGACTTCATGACACAGCGAAACATGCAGCTTCTGGAAGAGTACGACCAAAACCAGAACCCAGATGCGACCAAGGTCTTCGTCAATGGTGTCTGGGTTGGTGTTCACTCCAACGCCCAACAACTTGTCACAGTCGTGCAGGAGCTGCGACGAAACGGAACTCTATCTTA